AGTGACTTGGAGCCTTCGGGGACCTGAAGGCAGAGCTGAGAGGGGCTCTGGTTCTCTCTCAAGCAGATGGGCTGTCAGGTCTCTTGGCTAGAAAGGCCCCTGTCTGGGTCTCAGATCCCCATGAGCACCCAGCACGCCGCGTGGGGGGACACCTGGTGTTCAGGCTCACACTGCTGAGGGGAGTTGAGCACTGAGGAGCCTGGGGACCTGTGCAAGGTGGGGGACCGTGAGGACAAGAGGGGTGAGGGGGTGTGCATGGGGAGCAGGCCAGGCTCACCCCCTGCCTCCCCGAGGCTATTGCTAGAGCAGCTGCCTGGACGGGGAGCCACTTTGAGGCCCTGCAGGCCCTTCTGAGCGGGCCCAGCAGGTGCCCGGGTGCTCTGCATGCCTCCTCCGGGGCCCTCAGCCCCAGCAGGCTGCCAGTGGCTGGGTCAAGGGAGGAGAATGAAGGTGTCCTGGAGGGAGTAACCAGAGGCTCCGGGCACCGGGGAGGGAGCACCAGGGTGGGCTCACCACCCCTGGGAGCCAGGCTTTCCTGAGTTGATGACCGTGTCCCCGCTGGGGGGTCTGTCCTCTGACCGCACAGCCCAGTGCCCTGGGGGGGCACTACCCAGTCCACACCTTCCTGGCCCTTGAGCGTGCACACACGTGCGCGCACACTCTCTTCCTGACGTCACCAGAGGAGCTGAGCTCGGCTGTAACCTCCTCCTTGCTTCCTCCCCGCCCGGACCCAGGTCTTGATCTCGGAAGGACTGGGAAAGTTTGCTCAGGACCCCAAGTTCCTGGAGGCCACCACGCAAGAGCTGGCGGACGCCTGCGACATGACGATAGAGGAGATGGAGAGTGCGGCCGACAACATTCTCAGCGGCGGTGCCGGGCAGAGCCCCAACGGCACCCTGCTTCCTTTTGCAAACTGCAGGGACCCGGGGCCGGACAGAGCGGGGGGCGCAGAGGACGCGGCCTGGGCGCCCAGCCCCGAGCCCCCTGCGAGCGAGGAGGAGCTCCGGGACCACGGGGCCTTGGTCAGCAGCCTGTAGCAGCCGGGCGGGACGTGCTCCTAATGGGCTCGTTTCAGAAGTGCCTCACTGTCCTCGTGACCTGGAGCAAACAGAGCAGCGTCTTCATTCACTGCGTGGGGACAAGACCGGGGCGGGGGGTGGCGTGGAGAGAAGCGGCC